CAAACCCCCTAAAACCACCTAACTGCAGACATAGAAATGCAAAACAAATCAAGTAATTTTAACAATGAGAACTTACAGATGAGATCTTGGGATCAAAGTCATTAGCAGCTAAAAGCAATCTTTTTGAAGCCTTGAGAGCTAAAGAGAGATCATAAAGGCAAGAATTGTGGGAAGAAGATGAAGAAACCAAAAGGATGTTGTTTGAATCCCTGATTTCCTCAAGCAAATGAGCCAAAGGAGACAATCTTCTGCCCAAATCAGTACAGTCTTTCTTGAACAAACCAGAAAATCCGGCACTGGAAATTCGACTGACGTCGTGAACTAGCTGGAGTGGGATCTTAGTCGCGACGGCGGTGGATTCTCCGCCGGCCATGGTGGTGGTGGTGGTGGTTGGGGGTGAGGAGGATTCTTGTAAGTACAACCACAATGCAGGGACTAATATGTGGTACCAATTGGGGTTTATGAGGCTTGTGTTAAAAGAGTTGGGGATTCTTAAATTATTTAAGAATTTATTATTTATTTACGTTTTATTATTATTATTATTATTATTATTATTATTATTATTATTATTATTATTATTATTATTATTATTATTATTATGTGAGAGAAAAAAACATATTGTAGGAGAGGAAATTAAGGAGCAACTTAGTCAGCCCATTAAAAATTCTCTTTCTATACTTCTTTTTATGTTTTTCATTCGATGCCCTTAGGCGTCCAACTAATCTGAATTCATGCCGAGAGGTCCCAATTTCTTGCGGAAGATAGTTTTATTTTTAGTATTCGAGCACAATACTTTTTATTAAGAATAAAAGGATAGTTATTACCCCACCATAACTTTTGATGGTCTTTCTATGTATACATAATACTACCTTACCCTCATATTATTTTTCCCGCTAAGAATCTGTTTTTTATTCAAAATATTTGACATTTAAAAAAAATAAGAAATCATTTAGTATTTTTTTCATATTTACATTTTACTGTGTCAAGTAGTGGAGTATTAATTTAAGTAGCAATATTTTTTAATAGATAAAAGGTAATTTAAACAAATATTTTTGTGATTAAGGTTTTAAATTATATTTCTTAAGTGATGTATACAAACCTTAAAAGACAAATTATGGACAGAAGAGAATATTTTGCTGATATAGAAATATAATTATTTTTATGAAAAGGTAGAGGTTTTGGGGAATTGATAATGTTATAATGATTTTTTAAATCAGAACAATATGACTTAACAGCTTGTTTGGATGGTCGTTACCCATCGTTTTATAATGTATTGTATTATATTATGTTGTATTGTATTGTATCGTTTTAGAAATACAACGTTTGGATAGATTGTATTGTTTGATGTTGTTAAATAATATTTTGCTGTTTGGTTTGACTGTATCGTACTGTACTGTAACTGATAAGTTTACTAAAATACCCTCAATTGTTTAAATATTAAAGTTATCAAGAATTGCGCATAAAATAATTTAAGAAAACTCCTTTCTACTAGTTTATCACCAAATATGTCTTATAAATAGATTAAGCAATTAAATTTATGCAAATTCTAACAAAATGAGTGGAACAAAATTAGCAATTTTATGTTGGAGTTAGAAGCGGCAGAAGTTCTGGAAAAAAAAGGGACGAAGACAAAGTAGGTTATAGGTGGGAGATTTAGAATTAAAATAAAGAAAAAAAGTAAATGGTAAAATAAAATTATAGAGTAATAAGTTAGGGCATAATTAGAAAGAAAAATAGGAAACAATCCTACCACACCAAATCGATTGTTTAAAAAAATGGGACTTTTCATTATTCCGGAATAATGGATTTAACAATGCAATACAACCAATTTTAATGAAACAATCAAAACAAACATGTTTTGGACTAACAATAAAATACGATACATTGAGTAACAAATATTCAAACAAGCTGTAAACGAATTACACCTTAGAAAACCAAAATAGGACATCACAAGTTTTGAATTCTTGAATAGGAAATTAACTTGAAAGAGAACCAAAAAATATTATTTACCAAGATAAAAATGCTCCGTGTGAGCCAAAAATACATTCTTTTGTCAATTTGAGTAAGCAATGAGACGCCTAAATAGGTTTTGGAAGTTTTAATAATTTATGCTTTCTTTTCTATTTCTACATTTCTAAGTTCCAAATGGTTGGACCATATTTCCTATAATCTTTTCAAGTTAATGTCGAACCGTGTCACACACCAATGTGTGTCATCTAACAATAACCTAACTTTCGCAAATTGTAAGATTTTCAATCTTGGAAAAGTTTGGAGGGCAAATTATACATTTGTCCGGTCCATTAAAATTAATTATATTCACTAATCAAATATACACAAATATTATATTCACTGATTCCCTATTTACTGCTTTCCCAGTATCTCTTTCTGCTTATATGACTTGCCGGGAGGCTTTGGTTGTGTTTTCGGAGTGTTTTGGGACACTTAGTCCCTAAAGCTGTAGCTAAAGTTCTAAGATTTTGCTCGTGGTAAGAACTGTGTGAAGACGACTCCAGAATGGAGTTTCGTCGATTCTGTTAGCTCCGCTTGGTGATTTTGAATTTAGGAGCGTGTCCGGACTGTGAATTGAAGGTCTGTAGCTGATTCTGGCTTGAATTGGCGAAAGTCGAATTTTGGAGATTTTGACCGGTAGTGGACCTTTTGATATCGGGGTCGAATTTCGATTCCGAAAGTTGGAGTAGGTCCGTAATGTTAAATATGACTTATGTGCAAAATTTGAGGTCAATCGGAAGTGGTTTGATAGGTTTCGGCATCGGTTTTAGAAGTTTGAAATTTCAAAGTTCATTAAGTTTGAATCGAAGGGTGATTCATGTTTTTAACATTGTTTAATGTGATTTGAGGGCTCGACTAAGTTCGTATGATATTTTAGGACTTGTTGGTATGTTTGGTTAGGTCCCGGGGGCCTCAGGTGTGTTTCGGATGCTTAACGGATTGAAATTGGACTTAGGCAAAAGGCTGAAGTTTTCTGGTTTCTAGTGTTTCGCACCTGCGGTGGGGAGACCGCAGGTGGGGGATCACACGTGCGCAAGGTCTATCGCAGAAGCGGAGTGGGGTAGGTGCTCAGGGGTCGCAGGTGCGAGGCAATTTTCCGCATCTGCGATGCCTGCAGATGCGCCAAAGGAGCGCAGGTGCAAAGTGAAACCGCAGAAGCGGACCAGGTCCCGCAGGCGCGCACGCGCATGTGTGGCCACCTCATCGCAGAAGCGGACCCAGCCCTCTTAAGTCATTTTCGCACCTGCGATGGAATTTTAGCAGGCACGGCGTCGCATGTGCGACTGGTAGTCTGCATATGCGGAATCGCTGAGTAGAAAAGATCAATTTTGAGGATTTGATCTCATTTTCATTTTGGGTCTTTGAGAGCTCAGATTGAGGCGATAATTCAAGGATTTTTCTGAGAGAACTTTGGAGTAATGATTCTTAACTCGTTTATGGTTATATTCTACTAATCTATAGTTGATTTCATCATTTAATTAAGGAATTTGGTTGAGATATTTGGGAAAAATAGGAGAAGTTCTTCAACTAAAGTTTTGAATTTTGATTGGGATTTTGATATCGGATTTGGATAATTTTGATACGAGTGAACTCGTGAGTGAATGGGTATTCATATTTTGTGACTTTTACCCGATTTCGAGACGTGGGCTCGGGTCGACTTTTTGGGGCGTTTTTCTTATTTCTTGTTTTAGCTTTGATTTCATTAATTAGATTAGTTTCTTATAGTTGTATTTATGGTATGTAATTGATTTTGGCTAGATTTGGGCCATTCAGAGTTGGATATTCATGGAAAGGGCATTGTTACCGATTGATTGAGCTTGGTTTGAGGTAAGTGGCTTGCCTAACCTTGTGTGGGGGAAATCTTTTTAGGATTTGGTACTATTGTGATATGTGAGCTCCGTGTACGTGAGGTGACGAGTACGTACACTGGCTGTTTATTGTAAAATCTGATTTATTTTACTGAGTAGCAATCTGTTTTTTCTTTAATTTGAGTTATACCGTTTAAATGAGTATTAGTCTGTTTTCATTCTTAATTGAGTTATTCCAATATGTGTAGTTATCCTGTTTAGTCTAATATCGCATGTCTACGTGCTTTAACTGCTTATTTGAACTATGTAACGCATGCCTAGTTGATTTCCTGCTTTTTCCTGTTCTTTATCTGTATAACTGTAGAAATCTTGCTGTTAACTGTTGTATTTATCGGTTTGAGTTGTGTGTTTACTTTTGAGACTACAAGGCGGTTCCTCGGGAGTTCTCCATGCACATTTACTTTTGATACTACGAGGCGGTTCCTCGGGAGTTCTCCCTGCACATTTACTTTTGAGACTACGGGGCGGTTCCTCGGGAGTTCTCCCCGTATATTTACTTTTGAGACTACGAGACGATTCCTCGGGAGTTCTCCCTACACATTTACTTTTGAGACTACGAGGCAGTACCTCGGGAGTTCTCCCTGTATATTTACTTTTGAAACTACGAGGCAGTACCTCGGGAGTTCTCCCTGTATATTTACTTTTGATACTACGAGGCGGTACCTCGGGAGATCTCCCTGTATATTTACTTTTGAAACTACGAGGCAGTACCTCAGGAGTTCTCCCTGTATATTTATTTTGGGACTACGAGACGGTATCTCGGGAGATCCCCTGCTGTTTACCCCGGTGTGTTGTATTGTTGCCTTGCTGTGTTTTCTTTTGTTAAATTCTAGTCTCTTATTATATTGTATATTCTCCTTCCTTATTTATTATTTACTAGTGGGCATGACCTTACCTCATCACTACTCGATCGAGGTTAGACTTGCTGGGTACCATTGTGGTGTACTCATGCTATTCTTCTGCACATATTTTGTGTGCAGATCCAGGTGCTTCTTATCAGCCCCGCTACTAGCTGAGAGTGCTTGCTGTTGTACGGAGACTTCAAGGTACATCTGTTGCGTCCGCAGACCTCGGAGTCCTCCTCTATTATCTCCTATGTCATTTACCTTCCGTACTTTTTTTGTTAGACTCTGGTGTATAGAGATACTAGTTTTCTTCTATAGCTTATGACTTACGATGTTTCGGGTTTTGGGAAGACTGTGTATTTATAGAGTATTGGTTATTGTACATGTCGAGCGGCATTATTACTAGTTATTCAGTTATCCACTGTTGTTAGTTGCCAAATTTTACTTTCGTTTTGTTATTTTCTGAAATTTGTTAGGCTTACCTAGTCGTAGAGACTAGGTGCCGTCACGACGTTTTACGGAGGGAGTTTGGGTCATGACAATATATATATACTTTCTAGTGTTTTTTCTCTTAATTCTAAAACTACTTCATAGAATACATTATTATTGTAATTTCGAAAATAAAAAAGTAATTTAAAAGAAGATTAGTATAAGAATGTGTGAGGTCGAGTATCGCAATCCTTATTTTCCTTTTACGTTCTACTTATATACTTTCTTCCTTTGAACTTATGTGGCTATTGAA